CTCCAGAAAATCACTTCCCTGACCAACACACATACCAGCAACGCTTTCAGTGGGTTAGAGTTTGTTCATGACCCACATCGTATGACCTTATTGTCAAAAGCGTACAGGATAAGCCCTGGCCTGAACCCCAAAAGCATGTCTTTTGTTCCATGTATTTACATTCCACGTACCGGAACGTGCTATATCATTCAGGGTATTTTTGTAAGTATGTTAAGCCGTTTGTATAGATTAGCATGAGACGTGTTGTTACATAGGGTTAATTTTGTCACATGCTCAGCTGACTTGAATTAACTGGCTTATGGAATTGTGCAAAAATGAAACTTGTTCGTTCATTGCATTTCAATAAATTGGCAATTTTACTATGTATAACATTGGTAATATTACTGTCTTTATAGCAGTGTTGTATTAACAAAAATGATAACTGATAATATAACAAAAATATAAACAAAAATTAAAAATCAAATAAGCTGAAACATTTATTTTATATTATATTTTATAATTAAAGCTAAAATATAAAACAAATATGAATGAAATATTAAAAACTACACTAAACTAAACTTACTAAAACTCAACTAAAATTAAAACTGAAAATATAAATATAAAAGCTACTTCAAAATATTATTAAATATTGTAATAGTATATAAATACTACACTGTAAAACCGAACAGTGAAATTAATTAAATGAAATGAGTTAACTTCACTCAAATAATAATGAAAGTTAATTGGACTTAATTGAAATAAGTTCTGTAAATTTAAAATGTTGTTGTAGTAAGGTGAACTTAAAATGATTGCGTTTTCTAGTTCCCAGCATGCTTTGCATCAGACAACAAGGAAAATAAATGTAGAAATTAAGTGTTATTTTGTGTGTTTTTACACAAGATTAACATAGAGAGACATAAGTTAGTACTTAAATGTTGTGTTATGTTAGGATTTACATAGGTTTCTGTTATGTTGGTTTTGTAGTGTTACCGTTGTGGTGAAGAGTAGAGCCTGTGGTTAGGTTGAGGATGGACAGCAAAACTTAAAGATTATTTAAACTGCATGTTGTTTGACTATTTACATGCAAGTATTGTGAGTCTTTTTGATAACTGCATTAGTACGTGCCAGTGTGCTGTTGCTAACTAGCACTTAACTATAAAGATCTGAATGAATGTGCTGTTAATGGAAGCAACTTGTATATAATTATCATTGTGATGAGTGGGATGGGATCATGGAAGCGAGGCTTGGCTTGGCTCCCATGGCTCTCAGCCCCACCCTACTTGTCATAAAAATTTTAAACTCTACTAACTTTAAAAAATTGAGTTTGTTTACTCAAATATTTTGAGGCAATAAGTTTGCTCAAATGTTTTGAGTATTCTTAACTTATCAGGTTTTACAGTGTACCAAAACAACACCGCTTAATAGTCCTAATTCTTTCTTTTGATTCTTTTGAGATTCATCCCAATGTGCCACAAAATTTGCATTCATACAAACCACAGCCTCATGTCTGGTCTCACACAACCAAACAATATGCAAAAGCAGAGGAGAGCTTTGATAACATTCAGCCAAGAGAAACAAAGTCGAACACAAAGAGCTAAATAGCACTACAACAAAACCCTCGGTTTCAATTCATTCGCCATTTATTGTCAGCATGTATCCAGTCAGAAAAATATCTCTTTAATCTGTTTACATCCTCTCAACTGTGACGTTAAGAACCACGGTTATGTAAGAGGAAGTAATCTAAGTGTACATTTGAAGATGAACACAAATAAGTGCATATTGATGTTAATGAATAAGAAATTTACGGGTTTAGCCATCAGATATGAATGGATTACTTATAAAAATCAAATGAATGAAAGGAATTTACCAATGTAATTCTCAATTTACACTGTCCTCAAGCTGCAATTAAATATATCAAATAATCTAACCAAAGGAACAGATAATGTGGACAGTTAAGAGCTGACTCAGACTGTAAACTGATGATGTTTGTGCTTTGGGTTCATAAGTAGTTCATACAATTGTGTATTTTGATTTGGGAACAATTAATCTTTTGTGTTTAAATATGAAATTGCTTGACTCAAAGAATAATTTCAGTCTTTCCCAACAGTGTAATTTATTATGCATTTGACAGAACGAAAGAGTTCATCCATTTTGAAAACAAAAGAAAATTCTGAGATTTTACTAAATAAAACAATTTCTTCTTTTTACTGCAGGCTTTTGAAGGCTTGAAAGATATTGCATAAGTTAATAATTGACTGCTTTTATGATGCTTTTTGTCATTTTGGAGCATCGCAGTACTTCACATTCATTATATTGACAAAAGAGCCCAAAAAAATTCTAATTCAAATTTTGTGTTCCACAGAATAAAGAACGGTTACATACAGGTTTAGACTGACACGAGAGCTAGTAAATGAATGGTGATCTATCCCTATAAATGTTCAATTAAACAAAGGCACTCACTAAAGATTGATCTCGGCACACTTCCAAAGAATAGGATGCAGGCATTCGCTCTTAAACTATTAGTCCCTTACTAATAGTAGGTTAAAGCATGCTGGCACTTACTCAATGCCTGGTTGCTCTGATGACAGCAAGCATTGTGTATTGACTTGAAATTCCCTCAGGGTCATGTCTATGTCTGAGAACGAATTCAAACAAGCTTTTGTCTGTTTCTAATACATTAAGACGGCAAATTGGCTAATTTTCATAACTCTAAAATCCTGCCAGGAAAAAAAAGACTGCCTTATAAAACTGTCATTGCCATTGTCTAGTCATAAAAGATGTTAGTTGTAATGTTAAGAAAATAAGCCAGAGCAAAGTTTTATTGCTGAGTGTGCTCAGTTATTATGGATAATTTGTATACAAATTACTTTGGAGAAATAAAAACATACAAATGACGTATGACATAATGCAGTCTGATCACAACAGAGGTGACTTCATGCAATAAATGATTACATAATACGACAATAAATCTAAACTCACGAACACAATTCAACAGTGGACTCAGATTTTATCATTGAGATTGAATGGAGATCTAATGGAAACTTTGGCCATCCATGTCCATGTTTGGCCAAACAATTTATGTCATTTGACATCTTTTAAAGCAATTTACGAGAAACATCTGAGGCAAAGTTCACATATATACAAACCATAACTAAGAACTAACTCCATTCTGTCTCCTGGGATATGAATGAGCAACACTGAGCAATAAAGTGGATCTGTTTCAGTAGTCTTGTTGAGCTGGGATTGTGATGGATCTGCGGCTGCTCACCTGTGCGGAATCCTCCAGCACGCTCAGGCGGAACCGGCCTCTCTTCACCTCCATCTCCATCGCGGATCCACGGGCCACAGTGGCTCTGGAAGTCTGGTTTCTGCAGAACATGAGTGCAGTAGGTTGAAAATCCCAACTCAAGCGACCCGAAGCGGTTAACTACTGCATTAAAATAAACAGAAACGAAATGCTTAGATATATCTTAAAAGCGCCATTAGTATAAAATCCTACTGGACATGTTGCAACAGCTATGGATAAATAGGGTGTGTTTTCCCCCAGTTCGTGGTAGGGGTGGCGCTTGAAGTTTTGAACACTCACTGAAACAGCGTCCCCATTATTGTGATTTAGTGAACATAACTTTGGTAGGCTGTTAAATGTTTTCCCATTGCACAAAAGGTTTAATTCCGCCAGGGCGCGTATATTGGTTTAAAAAACGAATCCTCCCTTCAGACGTATCTAAAGTTTAGAACATTTTTTGGATAATTGGAAACATCTGCAACCTAAACCGTATTATATTTTGATTCTAATCATGTTGAGTATTAACAGCTGAAATCTCCAAATCGAAACTCGCATCAGTAATCTCAATAAAAGCGTTTTTAAAAATCCTCACGCTGTAAATACAGACGACCGTGATTGGTCCATTCTGACCTGCGCTGACAAAAGTAACAGGCACCACGTGTTAATGAATGACGTAAACGAGCAGCGGTTCAACAGATTGCAAAACTTTGCACTTAAAAAAATTACACTGAGAAACTTTAATGGACATTGTCTTTAAAATACAAAGTTACAAATCGAAATACAAGACAATTATGTAGACTCTTTGCCTCAAACCAAAAAGAAAGTCCGGCTGGTAAACACAGCCCATTTTAGGTTACATAAAAGGGTCAGTTCACCCAAAAATGAAAATTGTGTCATTAATTTAAGCACCCTCATGTCGTTCCAAACCCGTAAGATCATCATTAATCGTCGAAACACAAATTAATGTATTTTTGATTAAATCGGAGAGCTCTCTGACCCTGCATAGACAGAAACGCAACTACCATGTTCAATGCCCCTAACGCTAAAGACATCGTTAAAATAGTCCATGTGTGTAAATAGTCCATCAGTGTGCATTCCTCTGCTTGTAAACAAGAGGGTGAGTAATTAATGACAGAATTTTAATTTTTGGGTGAACTATCCCTTTAATTGCTATTCTATGTAATATTTCTGTGCAATTAAAGCACGCTATTCATTCACTTATGCATACAAGGTATTAACATTATTATATGTTATTTCATGAATCTAGTCATCAAATTTGTAATTTCTAAATATAAATAATTTCTCATATTCAGACACATGGAACATTTTCCCATTCAACATTTACAAACATACTGTACATTTTTATTAACATTTACAAAGACATACATGTAAAACATTTGCTTGCGAACATTTGCATACAATTATGAAAAACAAATATGAACCGCATAAAGCTGAACAAAGGATAGGCTTTGCCCCTAAAAGTTGAATATAAAAATGCTACAAATAATGTGGAGCAATGCTAAAATACAACACACAGACAGCATGAAAACAGGACAGTGCTTATTTAAAATTGAGGTTTGTTTCAAAGCTGCTCTTAAAAAAATAAATAAATTATAAAGAAAGAAAAGTCACTTTCAAAAAATGTCATTCTCTGATTAAAAAAAAAAACATTAGCAATTGATGCAAGAGAAATGACTGAGAGAAATGAACGTGTTTCTTATTCATAACTGGAAATAAAATGCAGGTCGAGACCAACAAAAAAATGAATTATAATACAACTTTACGTAACAAAAGAGTGCAACAGTATCAAAAACATAACTAAATTAATACTTATTTATCCTTAAATAAAATTATAATAACATAAAATACATCATGTCAGCTGTTACTGAGGTACGTTTTCGCTGCATCTCTTCAGTTGTGGTTCCTCTTGGTAAAAGTGTCCTGGGAAAAACTTCAAATATTCACACGTCTATACACCCGACTTGTCAAACTATATTTCTGACTATTTAGTTAGTTGTGACTGGTTTGTTATTCCAACCTTTGGCCTTAATCCATGTCTTCTAATTCATCAACTTCAGTAAAGATGTCACTGAAGAAGTACTTGGAGACACTTGTGGGTTCTTCATCTGAGTTCTGCTGAGTAGAGAAAGATCAAATCCGGTTTTATTAATACAAATATACAAAGTGACCATAAAAGCACTGAAATATCTGACCGCATGATACCTCAATGACAGATGCAGTGGTGAAAGCAGGGGTCTGTGAGGGTCGCTTTACTCCAGGGTTGGTTGCAGTGGTAACAGGTCCGGCTGCTATCCGCTTTCTCTCAGGACGTGCGGTGTTGACTGCTGGTTTTTGGGGGCCTGGTTTGGCCCCTCGATGAGCTGCTGGGGGTCCTTGTGTATTCTTCGATGAAATGAAGGACAGGAACCCTTTGAGTCTTCTGCCAGGTCTATTGGAAGACATCCAAATGAACAAAAATGGACCATAACATCTAGAGCAATATTAAAGCCAATACACTGCCCTGGAGAGTTTGCACTGAAATTTGGTGATAATAAGCCTTTTTAGCAGGATTTTTTTTTTTTTCAAGATGCAGGGCTGAGTTATTTTTTTTCAAACCTCTGAAGATTCACATTCTGCTTTAAAAACTAACAAAATGTAGAGCCACCCACCTTGTAAGCGGCCCACTTGTGGCAATAGGCGTGATTTGACTGACACTTTGCAAGTCTGATCTACTAGCCAACTCAACTGTCTTTTTGCCTGAGAGGTCCACTTTTCCCATGATGCCTTGGGAGGAACCCTCCTGGACAGAATCTTCAGAGACAGGTGAACGAGTATTATCGCTAGTCGCAGAAAGGTCTGTAGTTGCTTCTCTGTCAGAGATGGTGGTTGATATGGAGTCATCCGTTGATGAAATGACAGCGGGTACAGTTTGCTCTGGCACTGATCTCGTCTCTCGTGTTGAAACGGGTAATGAGGTAGTCTGTTTAAAAGAGAGAGCTGCTGAGTCCTCTTTAGCATCACCACCTCGAGCGTTTCTCCGTGAAACAGGGATGGGTTTAACTTGCAACTTTGCTGAACAGAAGAAAGTGCATTAAATTAAAGACATGCTTTAAGTTACGAAAAATTCTCTTTCTAAAAAAAATGCTTTTCTTAACTCCAATTCATCAAAGAATACTGAAAGAAAATGTATGATGGTTTCCACACACAAATGTTTTCAGCATCGATAATAATCAGAAATGTTTCTTGAGCAGCAAATCAGCATATTAGAATGATTTCTGAAGGACACTGAAGACTGGAGTAAAGATGCTAGAAACTCAGCTTTGCATCACAGGAATAAATTACATTTTAAAATAATTTCAAATAGAAAAGTTATTTTAAATTATAATAATATTTCACAATATTTCAGTTTTTACTGTATTTTTTTTAATCAAATAAATGCAACCTTGGTGAGCATAAGAGACTTCTTTCAAAAACATGACAAAATCTTCCCGATAACAAACTTTTAAAAGCTCCCTTACCTCTCCTGGTACTCTCAGGTATTTTTCTTTTCTTTTCCATATGTTCCTTCTCATCATCAGTCCCCTCTACCACAAGGCTTTCCAATCCTTCCACTAACACATAAAGAAACTGGGTTATAGGGCAGTGCAATGCATTAACAGATGTTAAATCTGTACCATATATGCTCATTTTTAGAGCTGGAAATGTTCTCACCATGATGACTCTCATCTTTGGTATTCTAGGAAGGAAATGGCCTCAGTTTTAGTCACATATCAGTATTTATCTAGCATTTATAGTTTTTAAATTCAAGATGCATGTTTTACCCCCTGAGATGTGGAGGCTGGTGTCTTGCGTTTCAATTCTCCTGTCCTAGATTTGCCCACGTCTCCCTGTTCACTTTTCTTTTCCTCATCCTCGGACACAGAAATTAAAGCGTCTGTGATCAGAAGGTGAGATACCCCCCTGCTCTCACTAGCACTGAAATTAAGCACAATAGGTAGAACATGGAAACATTTGCAAATAAGACTTAAATCCGCATTAATTTGGCTAACAAATTCTCAACCGGGACAAAACTTTCTCACAACATCCTCCTAATGTTTATTTAGCTCTCTCCAAGTGTTTATGGTATCAGATAACAGTTTAAAGCAAAGGTACCTTTGACCATGAGAATGCGACTCAGATGCTGCCACAGGTGGGAGGAGCTCTGTCCGAAACCCCACCCCCTCATCTAAAGTGGGTGGGATTTCTATGAGAGACGGTATAAACACAGGTTCCTCAGGCGTGGGCTCAGCAGATGTGTCTTCTGATTCACATCCAGGATGTTCCACAGTGCTGCCTTCACAAACTTCCTCAGGATTAGTTCTATTGTTCTCATCCAGCATGACCACAGTTTTCTGTCTGGACTCGTTTTCAGAAACAACTGGCAGGGTGACATCTTTGACTGTCTGAATTACAGAGACATAACACATGATATTTATTATTTTGATGTCCTTATTGTAATAATTCAACCTGACGTGGTTTGATAGTATTTAACACACATTTAACAGATATTTTACCTCTGCTGATTCAATGCTAGATGCTCCTTGTTGAGCTGCACTTTTGGATACATCAAGTTCTGTGGTAACTACAGCACCCTCTTCAGGACTTTTACTGAAAGTGGTCATGGAAGGCTGAGCAGCAGATGGCTTCTCATTTAATACTGCAAGAAAACATATGCAAACATAAACAGATATTTGCTTTTGTTTTTAAATGATTTTAATAAATAAATTATTAACTTATATGTTGCATAATAAATTGGATTTAATTTTAATAAAATTTTCAATAATTATTTTTGTGACAATAAATCACATTTACACACAATATTCTTAAAAGATTGGATGATAACATAATGAACATTCTTATAAGTAATTTTAAAATACTGGAAAAAATATATAATTTATAGTAGGACTAACACATATTTGAAGTTTTTTAATCGTTATTATTATTTAAACAATCATGTAAATTCTAATAAATCATATATATTACAATAATGAATAAATAAAGTTTCATTCAATCTTATGTTTCATAATAAAATGGAACCTGGTTTTAATGAAATTTTCAATCTTTTTTTTTTGTTGCAACAATAAAGCACATTTCGAAACCAATTGTTTAAAAAAAATCTATTGCTGTAATCACAAAAAATACATATTATTAAAAAGTTAAAATAATTTATACATGGTATTATGTTAATTTCTGCTTGTTTTTTGTTTTTTAACAATCATATCACAGTGATGAAAATGAGAATGAGAATTAAAAAAATATGAATACAAAAAATATATATGCAAAATGTAAATATAAAAAAAGTTACAGATAGGTAATAGATAAAACATAATTGTGGCTGTTACATGCTGTGGTTGATGTCGTGCCGCTTTGTGTCTGTGCGCGTCTGGATGTCTGAATCAGGTTTGGTTGAGGTTTGAGTTCGCGGTACCTCCTGACAGGTTTAGAGGGCTCAACTGATGTGCTCTGAGATTCGTTCACACTGAAACAACATACAGACATTTTTAAATATCAGTCTCATATTATGGAATCTGAATTGTTGCCATTGGAAGTGTTGGTTTTAGATATTCAAGGAACCATGTTAATATGCAAACGGTTCTATTTATTGTATTTTAAAAAAATTAATTAAATTTAAAAAGTTACACCACAAAAGAGAGAACACTGACTAACACTATCAGTGAAAAACTTACAAATAAATAATTAAAAAAAACGAAATAAATGGGCCATATACGACACTTTTAATACCTTTTAGTCAGCTGTGGTTCTGATCTCGCCCCTTCTTGTTCTTTTATATTTTCCTCTGTGATTATATCATCATTCTTTCTCTTCAAAGATAAGACCGATCCATTATCTTCTTTAGTCACTCTTTCAGGAATGACTTTGGGACTGTCTTCTCTTCTTTCAGATGATATATCCGGCTGTAGTACCTCAGGGCCGATGGTAGAGGAGTCTGGCAGGTGATCCACAGGAACACCGCCTTCTTGCATTGCATTTTTATCCTGTTCTGTGGAAGACGGACCCTTAGAGGTCCCCAAAGAACCTGTGACAAGTTCTGGAGAGATTTGTTGCTGTGGAGCTCGTCTGGTTCTCAAACCTTGACCAATATTAGGTTTGGGTTTGGAGGATCGACCTCTTTTGCTTGGTGGAAACTGTGTCTCATGTTGAATGGGAGCAGGATGAGCATCGGTTGTCTGTGATTTGATTGGTTCTTCTTTCGGGGTGGAGGTTTCTTCAGCAGAAGGTTCTGGAATATGAGTTTCACAGCTCGAAAATTCAACGTCACCTTTTGTCTCTGAATCGCAGCTTACCGAAGAACCAGACATGACGGCTGTTTCTGTGATAACTTCCTCATGGACGACCTCTTCATGTACAACAATCTCATTTCCACCTGAAAAAGATTTTGATCAATCAATCATCTTGATTTGATTTAAAGGAAAAAAGTTAATTTGGACTGAAGGAAATAAGAGGGTTGAACTATGAAGTTATTCTTACTTGTACAGGGCATTTCTGATGTCTGGATCATCTGAGCTGAGTTCCCGATGGTCAGAAGAGTCTGGGCCGCTTCATTGTTGATCTCTTTACATACTGAACGATAGATGTATAAAAATTAACTACCAGAATTTTAAAGCTTTTGGGTAAAATATCTGCATTGCATGTAGTGGTGGGTGATATAAGCAAAAGGTAAATCACACAATATTCTTTAAAGTTTGGATGATAACATAATATACATATTCTTATGGAAAAGTAATTTAAAATTACTGGAAAAAAATTAATAATTATATATAATTTATAGTAGAACCAACACAAATTTAAATGTTTTTATTTTTATTATTTAAACAATCATGTACATTGTAATAAAACAAATAATATATAATACAATTAAAAAAATTATGAATAAATAGTTTTACTGAATCAGAAAATTAGACTTCTATCAATGCATTTTTGCCCATTTTTATTTCATAAAAGCTTTTTCATCAATTGAACATTGATGTAAATTGAAATTAAATAAAATTATCATAAATATTTTTTAAATCCAAACATATATTATTATTATTATAACAAATTAGGTACATGGAAATTAAATTTAAAAAATATATTATAATTATTTTTTTCCTCTCAGAAAACTGCCTTCTGGATCGGTGTATTTTTGCCCAATTAAATGTTGGGATATAACATTTCAGTGCATACTGCAGACCTTTTAGACTACATATGATAACTAGACACAAATGCATGGTTAATCCATATAATAACAATTCATTTGGCAGTTCTTTCAGCTCATCAGAGAACGTTTCCTTGAGAGAGAGTTTTGTCTTACCCTCCATGTGGTCCGGGTCAAGAAACTCTATGACATCCTTCAAAACAAATCAGACACAAATTAGTACCATCTCATCAAACACTACAAAAACATTCCAATTCCAAAGTGAAGAAACTAAATTCAATTTCACTGCAGATAACAAAAAAAAGGAAAATGTAGAGATGGTCCTCACTGCAGAACACAAGATCCAGGGGGCGAGGTTGGATCCAGATCCAACTCCTCCCACCTTACATATACCTAAACCTACCCGTCTCCACCCCCTGATCCCTAAACCTACCATCTCCACCCCCTAGATGTGGATCCAACCCCGTCCCCTGGATCTTTGTTCTGCAGTGAGGGGCTACTGAAAATGTATGTGCATTTATGATGGACACAGCAACAGTAAACAGAGGAAGCGTCAAATGTGACGAGAGACATAGATGATGTTGGTGAGACTTACAACAAGCAGGTCCAACTGGCCAACAGGCACCGTGCCCTGATCACATGACAACTCGGGGCACAAAGCATTCTGGGATGTGCCCAGGATATCAGGCACATTCACAGAAATGTCCAGCTGGGAGACAATGGGAATGAATCACAATAGAGGGAAGGACAATGAAAGGTAGGAAGGTTGTGAGTTTATGATATGACATGCAGAAATGAATATGAACAAAATTGCAAAACAAAAATAAACTCACTTTTTGAAAACCATAACATAATTTATGAAAAACAAGCACACTGATGGCAATAATATGTGATAAAGGTGGTCCCACTAGGGTCCTTTTTCTTAAGATAATACATAAACATACCTCTTCCATGGTTTCTACCACCTCTGAATTAACAGGAGGTAGATGGCGTAAACTCATTGGCACAAACGCCTGGTTTTCCTCTTCAGGATTTGAAGGAAAGTCTTCCTGGCTCAGGACAGATTCTTCTACTTCCTCCTCCTCATCACCATCTTCAGTTCCAGAGGCCAGTAAGGTCACCAGTCTAGATTTCCCCCTCCTAGGCATGCCCTGTTTCAATCTGGGACCTGGTTTTAATTTAGCTCTCCGGCCAGGTGCCTTAATGTCCTGACCACGAACTTTGGAAAACACAGGAAGATCAGAGAGCTCTTCCTCATCTTCCTCTTCCTCTGCCGCTGCCTGTATTACATGCTGAGAGAGCTTAGGGATCCTTCCTGACCTAAATAAAAGAGAAATGATAATTAGCATGACAACCAAAACTGAAAACAAGACCACAGAATAATGCCAAAAAATATAATGATCATCAAAAATAAAATAAATTGATTCAAACATTAATCATACTTGTTTATCACATGATTCTGGATCTATTCACAATTACATCTGCATTGCATGTAAAAATATTTAAAATAATTTACGGCAATAGAAGTAAAGCTGCAACAAAATAAAATATAGACATTAAATGAACAACTTAAATGAAATGAGAAATTCTGCATAGGCAACTAACTGAAATAAGTAGAGTTTAAGTTAAAGTACTAAAATTACTCAAAACTAATCTGAAATCAAAATATATTTTTTTTTAAATGACAAAAGCACATGAAATTACTAAAACTAAAACAAACATTAAATAAAAATAAACCCCCCATAAAATATATATAAAACCCAACTCAAAATATTAATAAATACTGTAACAGTATATAAATAATACTACAAAAATGCAGTTGCATAAACGGTTATTAAAATGATCTAAAGATTCTCACACTTACCTGGTTGGTTTATTGAATATCTGTTCTTGTACAGCACACAGGTCAGGTTCTTCTTCCTCTAAATCTTCCAGTTCAAGGAGAACTGCAGACTGCTTCTTCTCTTTTACAGAGGCTGAAGGCACCTAAAAAGAGCAAATTATACAATTTATTAGATAAAACAGGCAGATAAAAATTACTTTGTACAGTAATACACTAATACACATAAAACTATCACATCAAACAGCTGAGAACGTCACCTTGGGGTACTTGTCCATCTTACTCTCCTCCCCGGCTGAGGTCCCGTTCTCTTTGCCTTTAGGCACAGGGCACCTGTTCCCCCATCTGCGGCTGAGGTCTGGGATCGGTCTCTGCAGTCGACCTTTGAGCTGAGCTGGTTTAACAGCAGAACTCTTGTATCTACTAGAAAAAGTTTCATTTTCAGCCCCCAAATCGTCTTATAACATTATAAATTATAACTGCACTAGTAGTGCAGAAATTGCATTACAGTTCAAAAGTTTGGGTTCAGTAAGAGTTGTTTTTTTTTTTTTCAAATTAATTAATACTTTTATTGGGCAAAGAAAAAATATTTTAAATAAATGCTGTCCTTTTGAACTTTTTTATTCAACAAAGAATCATGAAAGAAAATTCATCATGGTTTTCACAAAACAGCAGCACAACAGTGCTCAAAACTGATAATAATAAAAACAAATGTTTTTGCTGATGAAAATTTAGTTTTTTCATCACAGGACTATATGCCATTTTAAAATATATTAAAATAGAAAATAGTTATTTTAAATTGTAATAATATTTCACAATATTATCGTTTTTCTGTATTTCTATAAAATAAGTGCAGCTTAAGTGAGCATAAAAGAGACTTCTTTCAAAAACATTAAAACAAAATCTAACTGACCCCAAACGTTTGAATGGTAGTGTACCTGTAAATGCACCTTTAAACTGAATAGTGTGAGCTATCTGTAACCTTTTAATAATATATTTGGGTTCATTCTTACCTGTCATCTTGTGACTGGCCATCAGAAGTAAGATTTTCACAGTCCTCCGGTTCATCTATTTCAGCTACAAAACATGAAATTTGTTTTTTTTTTAAGTTTGAATTTGAGTTTGAATTTATTTATTAGGATTAACCCCTTGAGATGTAACATCTCGTTTTCGAGGGGGTCCCAAAATACAACGCATCACAATCACAACAAAATAACATAAAACAAAACACAAATTAACAATACATCCAGTGAATTAAATAATTAAAAAAAAAATGTTTTAAATAAAAATGTACTAAAGTTTCATTAGGCATAGGCTGTTATTTCCAATTCATCTGGACTTTTACAAGACAATGAAAATGCTTTTTTTTTTTCTCAATTGTTCCTTGCATACCCTCTCCATTCGTCCTCTTGATTCTCCTGTCTGGAGTATTCGTCCCTCTTCCTCTGCGCTTCTTTGGAGTGGTATCACTTCCTCCATCATTTGAGAGGTCCTCATTCTCCTTTTCTCCAGCCACCACATCACTGTCTGAATCCGATGAAGAGTCCATTTCCTTTCTTTTAGCTGCTGCATCAGAAAATAGTGCAACTGTGCATGAGAACTTGTCCAAAAAACAGTGAATCATAAACAGATGGACAGAAACAAAAAAAAACTGACCTCTCACTTTCCTTTGGACTCTCCTCTGCGCTTTAGCCAACTTGATGAGCTCTTTGTTTTTGTTTTTCTTATTTTCCTCGTTTTTTAGGATCTGCTCCATTAATTTTTTGAAGAAATCTAGATCCAAACGCTGCTTCTCCTCTGAAAATGCACTTCAGTTTACTTCATTTTCAACCAAATGTCTTAAAACGTAATTTAATAAAGAACCAATTTCATTTTTAAAAGTTAGAGACTTTAGTCTTTGCAACTTTACAGATCTTCTTTATGCATCAAGGGCTTGTAACACTTCAAAGAGAAAGGAAATTTGAAATCGCATCATATGACCCCTTTAAAGAAGTAAAAGGTCACTTACTAAAAGCTTTATCTATTCTCCATGAGTTATTTCTCTCCTCTTTCTTGAACTTGTTCTAGAGGAATGAGAGAACAGCAAAGAAGAGGGTAATAAGATGAGCTTGTATTTTACACCACCAAATCAGCATATTAGAATGATGAAGGATCATGTGACACTGAAGACTGGAGTAATGATGCTGAAAATTCAGCTTTGCATCACAGGAATAAAGTTCATTCTAACATATTCAAATAGGACATTTTGAATTTTAATATTTCACAATATTACTGTATTTACTGTACAGCCATGGTGAGCATAAGAGACTTAGTTCAAAAACATTTTGAACTAAAAATGTACAAACTCCAAACTTTTAAACAATAGTGTAGATGGTGAAATCAAGTACTATATAAAGTTTAGAGCACAAAACACAAAGATATTGTGACCACCTTAATCTCTATTCGAGCTCGGTGTGGAAACAGCTGACCAATCATGGAGAAGTCTGTCCCCACCATGCTGATGGCCAAGTAAAACATTTCAGTCTCTGGAAGAGTCAAAGAAAAGATCCTATATAAATGAAATGTATAACACACGTTGGATTAAGAGGTGCATTTTGACTGACTTCCGACCTCCATTGGACCAGGGTTTGGTGTAGGTGCCCTTCCTAAAGCTGGAGTAGGTGGTGGTAGAGCCACGTTCAAATATAGGATCTCTGTCTTCTGCCGGATTGGGTCCTTTTGCCCTTGACACCTGGACTGTTAAACTACACACACACAACAAAATAAAAAGCTGTTTAACGTAGGAAGTTCACCTTCAATTCTACTAAAATGAATTCTCTAGGTTCTGGACTACATTTCTCAGCAGCTCAGGGGGGAAAAGTGTTACTGACCTCTCCTCGTCTATAATCAGAGAGCCATCCTCTGCCACCTTCACCCTGGGCACTAGAAGAGGCTCTTCCTCCTCCGGCTGGGTTTCTTGCATTCTTTCCTCATCTTCTTCATTACCAACATCTTCTACAACTGTCTCCTGAACTGATGGAGCAGCTGGAGTCTTAGAAGGCCTGAAGAGAAAAATCATAATTCTAAATCATAAACGAGAAAACAATATCTTATATTGGCATCAAGGTGATAGACAGAGTGATCAGGCTTACGTTGGTGTAGGAGAGTCATCTAATACTGTCTCTGATGCTTTCTGCTCCTCTTCTGTGAAAGACCTGTACAGAAAAACAAGACAGGGTTTGATATAAATCAAGGCATAGGAAACTGGAAAATACTGTCAATTAGAGGTTTGTCGTAATTGCTGCACAGCATTGCAAATCCAATAACAGCATTTCCATATACATGCACTTCTAAAACACACAGAGAAATTAAGAGCGGCACATACTTCATTGGGTTGGAAACAGGCAGGTAATAGATCAGCTCTCTCATGGTCATTTTAGTGTGGTCTTTGGGTGCTTTGCATTCTTTGATTCCCATCTTGGGTTTCTTCTTGTCTTCCTAAATGTATGCATTAATGAAGAGTTCAGGGTTTCATATTAAAAGCATTGAAATAATTCCCTTACATATTCCCCATAAAGTGTCTTAACATATGTAAGGATCAAACAGCACTTATTAAACTGTGATTAAATGAAAATCCTATTTAACCTGGGACTAAACTAAACTAATCTATACCAATATATACACATACATATACACATCCGATTCCATACATACAATAAATGAGTGGGATTTTATATATTTTATTAAAATATACACTACTGCTATTTTTTTTTTACATTTTGAAATAAATAATACTTTTATTTAGCATTAAATTGCTCAAAGGTGATAGTAGAGAATTTTATAATGTTACTAAAAATTAATTTTCAAATAAATGCTGTTCTGTTGAATTTTCTACTAATTGAATCCTGAAAAAAATCTATCATGGCTTCCACAAAAATATTAAGTAACTGATTTTAACATTGATAATTATAAGAGGATCATGTCATACTGAAGACTAAAGTAATGGCTGCTGAAAATTCAGCTTTGTAATCACAGGAATAAATTACATTTTAATATATATATATATATATATATATATATTGATATTCATAAATATTTAAATTGTAATATTTAACAGAAAAAGGTTATTTTAAATTGAAATAATATTTCTCAATATTACTGTTTTGCTGTATTTTTAATGAAATAAATGCAGCCTTGGTGAACATAAGAGACTTTGGTCAGCTATTTAAAAAACATAACTTACTACATCGTACTAACCCCACTCTTAACATGCTTTGACCCAAACATGCCTTGATTATTTCTGAGTAGGATTTTATTGTTTATTCTTTAGCCAGATTTTAGTTTTTGGTTTAAATATTTGGAACTAGCTGCCAATGTTTGGAGCAAAATACAGCTTTTCTGATATATAAGAAGAAAAAAAAATGAGAGCACACCTAAATACTGAGATACAAATCCAGACAGCAAACTAATATAAAACACTTCCATACCTTTCGTTTGTTCATTTCTTTTTTAAGAAGCTCCCGAAGTTTCCGTCCCTGAGCTAACCTGACCATGTCTGCTGGGTCGTTCAGAGATTTCAAGGATTTGATTATCTTCGATGGCGTCTTAAGTTTATGAAGTCTTTCTCTTAACAGATCCATTTGGCTCTGGCCCGGAGACGGCCCAGAATCACTCTCCTGTTGTACAACCAAGTCTTCCACAGCAGAACGAGCCGGAGGGTTTTCACTGTCCAAAACGGTATCAGGTTGGGAAGTTATAAGTGGATGTTGGGACTCCCCTTGCTGAATGGTCAATGGCACAAGAGTATCCTCCAATCCCCCATCCTTTTGCATCTCTTGGTCATTCTGCAGTGGGGCTGCAGGGATGGGCTGAACTTTGGCCTGTCTGCCTCCTCCAGAAGGTCTCCATCTTCCAGGAAGCCTGGGGTTATGGACAGGCGCAGGTATCTGAAGGGAAGACTCTTCAGTGGGGGTTGAGGTTTCAGGCTCACTGGGTGTTACTGGTTTTACAGGGGACTTGGATGGGGATTTAGGAGTCCTGGAAGAGGCTGGAGAGGCTTGTGGTTTGGCCAGGTTGGGCAGAGCTGTGAAGCGTTTCCTCCTCTGAGAGCCAGAAGTCGCAGAGGTGCTTGCTGAATCCTGGGCATCAGAACTTTTAGATGCTGCATCCCTGTTGTGAAGCAAAGAATCAGTGATAAAATGGGCAAACTCTCTTGCATAACATAATATTTCACCTAACTTTTTTTTTTTTGAGGAATAGACCAAAATTTATGGGTAGTTTAAGTTAAACTTCAAGCAGCTTTATCCTATGATGTGACATGCTATAATTTGCTACAGCTCAAATTAATCTTCTGTAATCAGTAATTACTAGACATGCAATTTTTATAAACTAATATTAATTGACAACTTGATGGAACATTTGAACTTTTAAAAATTAATTTGTCACATTGAAGGACCGATTACAAAAAGAAAAAAAGTGAACAAAGTCATTAAAAAAGGTGAAATATTAATTAGTATTCATTCACTTATATAATTTAATAATACATAACATGTTATATATTATATATGCATATATGTATGAAAAAAGGTTCAAAAAACTTTCCTGATGTCTTTATTCAAATTGCATGATTCTAAATAATAAATACACACTTTAATTAAATGTAGTCAGATGTTTATTAAACGGAAAGAGTCAGACTCACTCTCCATGTTTAGTGGCCTCCAACTGGTCACTCGGGCAGCTGCTCTGAGATGCTTCCTCATTGGTCCACTCCAAAGCTGCTATAGGTGGGTCAGTCTTCAACTTATCAACCGTGACCTCTGACCCCTCAGATGGAGCGGAGTCAGCAGAAGCCTGGGGAGGCTGAACATTATCTACAGACGCATCTCGAGAGGCTGTCTGAGCTCGGCCTGTGGGCTTTACATTGGGCCGAACACTGATTCTCGATCTGCGTATCATGTTTCTCTGAGGGAAAAGCATAAAAGATAAATATATAGGCTATATACATATATTAGAGCTGCACAATTAATCGAATTTCTAATCACGATTACAATTATGGATGCCACAATTACGTAATCGTTCAAAGGCCACTTATGTTATTCTGAGTGCTTAAGATGTTATCTTAAGGGTTTTTCCATTGTTTTAATTTTAGTTTTAGTATAACACTATAATACCATTTATATTTTTACTTTTTTTATAATTTAAAGAAGAAACCAATCCGATGTATAGGCCTAGTTGACATTTGAGGCTTAATACTATAGAAAAGCACTAAAAGTTTTTCAGTTAGTGTTTTCAGCTTGTTTATTTTCATATAAAAATAAGGCATGCAGTTGCATCAAACAATGTAATTTGTGATAATCGTAATTAATAATCGCAATTTCAAGGCAATAATCGACAATTGTGATTTTTGTCATAATCGTGCAGCCCTAACATATTTAGAGGAAAAATGCATGCATATATATATATATATATATATATATATATATATATATATTTTGCAAATAACAGACTTCAGTTAACAGGTTAGCTCAGTTCAGTTCATTATAATTATACTGTCATGCAAGCTAAAAGTCTTTCCGCCGGTCTTAAATTAATTTTGACAGTTGAAGGTGGTCTTAGTCCCAAATCCGATTTAATGTAATAGACTATATGTTTCTTAAATTAACAACAACAAAACAGAAACATGTGACAACTACAGAGACGTTTACAACAAAAAACATTAACGAACTACTTTAAATCGAATTTTCATTTCTCACTTCAAAGCACAAATATTTAGTTTACAGCTACTCGCAACAAATTGCTCTTTTAAAAAAGTATTTCGATTTTCTACAAATTTTTTAAATGTTTTTTTTCTTCGACTGTCCATTGAGTGTGCCCTCCCTGTCCAACAATGTCCATTAACCTCGTATGCTGGACGGTTTATTAGAGCAACGTTGCTTTTTTACAAAACCACAATGAGTATAAAGCTGTGGAAATATCATAAACTTACTTTATTTGGTATTCCAGGGTGATTTTATAGTAAAATCTTCAGCGGCTCACGTCCTCCATGCTTGCTGTTTGTTACTGGGCATGCGCAGTTGCGCACTGTATGTGAGGCCCGGAACGAACGTTTTTTCTCCTGACCTGGTGCAAATCCACCCGGGTGCTTTTCACAAGCGGACTCGCTCCTGTACATGCTGTTTACCAAGGCTCTCTGTCATAGAAATACACTATTCAGAAGATGTTTTTTCCTCATGCATAGGCGTAGAACAACAGTCGTTTAAGCATGGATCCTCTGATCACAAGCAATCCGGCTTCGTCAAGCACAGATGTGAGAAACAAAGGAGAAAGCCAGGATACAGTTGTTGTGTCAGGCAATACAGCAACACTGGCCCTGTCTGACACTAGTCTAGTGTGTGTTGAATACCCAGCAGTCGTCAACAATGTGGACACAATGCTGGAAAGCATTGGAGGCGAAGAGGGAGTATCCAAGGTGATTACATTCTGCTTTCAATTAAATAGATACCTGGTAAATACTGTGTTCATTTAGACTGTTGTTGTCATGTAACAGTTACAATGTAGATTTGTAGATGAGTTCAGTCAAATATTTGTTTGTCAGATTATGCTGTACAGTAATTCTTGCTATTGTGAAATCACTTTCTTGTTTTAGAATATGTAATTTAAGTAATTTAACTTTATTGTTTAGGTGTATTTATATTGTTCATTGTATTTTATTCTAAGTTCATGTAATTAAGATGCACAATTTTAAGCATTTTTAAAAATTTCCCTCTCTAATATAGCAATAAATATATGAGATGTATTTACAGTAATATTGTGAAATATCATTGCAATTTAAAACAGCTGTTTTCTATTAGAGTATGTTTTAACATGATTTATTCCTGTAATGGCAAAGGTCAGTGTCTTCACTGTCACATGATCCTTCACAAATTATGAAATGCTGATTTGCTACTCAAGACAAATGTATTATTATCAATGCTGAGAAAAAGTTGTATAGCTTTATATTTTTATGGAAAGCCTTTTTTTTTAATCAATCTTTGATGAATAAAAAGTTCACAAGAACAGCATTTATATGAGATATATGAATCTTTTCTATATGAATGTCTGTTAAGAATGTCTTTAATGTCAATTTGAATTAATTTAATGCTTCCTGGCTGAATAAAAATAGTTTCTTTAAAAGAAAATCTCACGGACCTTAAACTATTGAACAGAAATGTAAATGTATATGTATACATGTGTATATGTGTGATTTTAACCTGAGATTTTTCCGAACAGACCTATGCAGATTCTTCTAAAAGACTTGAACTCCGTTTTCGGCCGAAGGATCTGTTCTGCCATCCTGCTTATGGGAACCGCTACTCCTCCACCAACCTGCTGCTCAGAGTGCGCCGCAGAACCCGCAAAGGAAACAGTGCAGAAACCCAAATCAGCATGGAGATAGTGGGACTTATTGGGACCACGTATAAATTTCAAGGTATAGATAGTCTAATTCACCTACTAGTGTTTTTTTTTTAATAATTTAACTAATTTTATTACTATTTTTACATTTTGGTGTAGGATTTAAAACATTTTCACTCAGAAATTGTAATCAAATAATTACAAAGAAACAGGAAGTAACACAATGGATTAAACATGAAATAGTATTTTTATTTATTTACTTTTTTAATATTATTATTATTTTGTAAAACATTCTTCAATAATCTTTATTTCGAACTTTGAAAGAATCATTTTTACAGGGTACCACAACAGAAAAATATATTCTTCTTAATTTTTTTAATGATATGCTACATGAATACAGTTTTTACTGTTGCAACTCCAGTTTTGATTTCATGGGGTCTTAAAGGGTTAGTTCACCCAAAAATTAAAATTCTCTCTCATGTTGTTTCAAACCCGTATGACAGAATTTTCATTTTTGGGTGAACTAACCCTTTAAATGGATAATTCTGTAAACAAAGTCATTCAGATTTGGAATTACATAAGGGTTTAAATTTATTGGTGGGCTGACTCTTTAATAATCACACATTCTCACCTTTGATTCTTCAGGAATGGCTGACTTCCAGTACCTAGCGACTCACAACGATCCAGATGGAAACCAGATGTCTTTGTACGACAAGATCATTTTGCGCAAACCCGAGAAGAAAGAATTCTACGACAATCCCGTGCCTCTTTTCCTTCCTCCTCCTATTTTCTCTCGTCTGGACACGGCTGTGGATTATTACTACCGTCCAGATGTATTGCACAGGTAAGCTGGAGAAAGAGCTGAATTCTCACATGAGTTGACCTGCTGTTCTGAGTTCAGCCGTATGTGTGTTTTGGTGGTTTGATTTGTTGGCTTCCCAATAAACAGCAGGGAGACTGCAATGCAGTCTGTTCTCCTAAAAGATCATCTTATTGCCCCGAATCGAGCTCGCCGGCCAAACAATGCCATTTTTGTCAACTTTGATGACAAGACCATACCATCAGAACCTCTGGAAGCTGCAGTGACCAGCTGGAAGAAGTTCTGTGTCCATCCTAATGATGCAAAGGCAGAGCAGCAACTCAGACAGGTTAGTAAAATGGATATACATGTTTTCCATTTCAAATAAAAACTGTTCTTTTGAACTTTCTATTTCATATTCCACAAAAATATTAAGCAGCACGAAAAAGCTGTCACAATCAGCTTGAGCAACTATTGGACAAACATGGTGTAATGTTATGGGAAAATGTCTTTATCTTATCCTAATCCCACCTGTGTTTCAAAGCTATTTTATTTGGAAATACTGATTAAATTGAATTCGCCTCCGCAGCTTTTCAAGAAAAGGCCCATATGGTCTCGCAATGCAGTCAAGGCCAACATTAACATTCACCCTGAGAAAATGAAGCACCTCCTCCCGTATGTGGCGTACTACATGGTGAGTAGATTAAAAGTTTAATCAACTTAAATATGATGTCTCATATCCCAGCTTATTGCATAATGGTGTAAACACTTGTTATGTGGCACTATCAGCTTTTCTAGGTTTGTTAGTATGGCCTGTTGTGGTAACATTGGTTCAACCAAAGGTGTGAGATTAGGGTGTCTGGACTAAAGGTCAAGGTTTGGCTGGTAAATATAGGCTGGTAGATTACATAACTACACTTTTATGTTGCCAAAAAGCGTCCGACTTCATTGATGGCCATTAACACCATGGTTGGCATAAAATCTTCACAGATTAGTTTATTTGATTAGTGACCTATAATCTTGACCTATATGTGTATATACTATAAATACAATACTGTATATCCCTTGTGCGTCAATTTAAATGTCCTTAAATGTCCTAATTTTATGTCCTTTGAGGACAAAAATATCCATGTAAAAAAACAGTCATAAAAATATTATATAATTTATATTTTCTTTCCACTTTCACTGACGTGGATAAAAAACTACCACACACATACAAATCATACTCCAATATGCACAACAATATACCCACACAATTAGAATTACATAATTACATAATTGAATACACAATTCAGCAGAAGCAGAAAAACAGTAATAACATGTATTTGCTCCATAGGTAAATCCTGAGGAAATGGTGCCATCAAGGTGAAACATTGTAAAAAAAAATTTAAATAGTAAAAAGGTTGAGGCCTTGGCAATTGAATGAAAGTCTATTAACAAAGAATGTGTGATTTTATGCCTAAATGGCACTGGGATTAAATATTACAGTTTGAATGCGTTTCAATGGGGACATTTTTGTCCTTAAGGTCCAGAGTGTAATTATTTTTTCTACCTAGTGTAAAATAGATTTATGAAAGGAAATGAGGGTGAATTTATTAAAAATACAAAATTTCTGCTCGTTGCATTAACACGGAAAAAAAAAAAAAGATCACAAAAACAACAATGAAAAGACAAAAAATGTCCATAAGGACGCACAAGGGATATCTCACAGTCTTAAATTAAAATATATTTTTTAGTGCTGTCAAACGATTAATCGCGATTAATCGCATCCAAAATAAAAGTTTTTGTTTACATAATATTTGTGTATGTACTGTGTATATTTATTAAGTATATATAAACACACACACATGCATGCAGAAAAATTTGTTATGTTTATATATTAAATATATTTATATATAATATAAATTTTATGAATATAAATATATACATGTCAATATTTTCAAAATATATGCTGTATGTGTGTGTATTTATTTATATATATATATATATATATATATATATCAAATATACACAGTACACACACATTTATAATGTAAACAAAAACTTTTGGATGCGATTAATCGTTTGACAGCACTAATATTTTTGTGTGTAGTTAACAGGGCCATGGAGGAGTTTGTGGGTCAGGTTTGGATACGATCCTCGAAAAACTTATATATATATCAAATATACACAGTACACACACATTTATAATGTAAACAAAAACTTTTGGATGCGATTAATCGTTTGACAGCACTAATATTTTTGTGTGTAGTTAACAGGGCCATGGAGGAGTTTGTGGGTCAGGTTTGGATACGATCCTCGAAAAACTGCTGAAGCAAAAATCTACCAGGTTCTAGACTTCAGGATCCGCTATGGAATGAAACATGGTGAGCGATCAACACAAACACATTCATAACAACCCCAAATGTGATTCATTCCTGGACACAAACATTCCCGGAATGCTATGAAGAACTGTCCATAAGTGCACAGAATCTGCTGTGAACATAAATGACAATACAACTAATTCCAGTGATTTTTCTGTCTCACTAGGATTTGGTGTCAATGACATGCCAGTGAAACCCAAGAGAAGTGCTTATCATTACAGCCACCCAACCACTATCAACAGGGCAGGTACACAGATGCAAATGTTCTGGCACACAAAGTTCCCTTAAAGCGTTAATTATATCTTTTTTATTTCGTTTTTCACGTTTGCCGCCCACTCTTTGACCTTTAGAATCCAATAGGACTTAGCTTCTGAAATTCACCATTCAGAGTTTTGGGGTCAGTACGATTTTAAAGGGGTCATATGATGATAAATAAATTTGCATTTGCTTAAATATCAGAATCAGCCAATTTGCTAGTTAAAAAAAACCAAAGAAAGAAAAGAAAATCTGAATTCTAAATCAGCTATGATCGGTGTATCACTAATTAA